GAAATTGGCCTCAGTTGCTTGGTTTTTACCCAAAAGTAAGTATAACTCTGGAATGAGCCCAACTATCCAATAGGTGAAACTCTTTACCAGACCTAGCAGTCGTGTTTTTCTTTTGTTTTGTTTTTCAATCACGAAAAATTAGGAATTAGAAGTCCTATCCTACGTATTCATCTTGTCAACTGAAAAATAATCTTTAAATTGGGTTGCTAAGTATATTCCAGAAACCGGAAGTGCCGGTTGGTTGTATTTCTTCAGATGTATTCTGGAGAATACAGAGTGTTATTTTTTAACTGTTTTTATTAAGACAGTGGGTAGGGCATTTGCCTTGCATACAGCCAATCAGGGCTTGTTCTCTGGCATCCCATATGGTCCCTCAAGCAATGCCAAGAGTGTATTCCTGAGTACAGAGCCAGCAATAAGCCCTGAGCACCTCTGGATGTGGCCCCAAAAAAAACCAGCAAAAAAGACACTGTGATTTACAAAGTTGTTCATAATAGAGTTGTTTCAAGCATGCAGTGTTCCAACATGAAACCTACCCCTAGAGTGCCCTTCCCTACACCAGTGTCCTCAGGTTCTCTTTCACCTTTCCACCACCTGCCCCCTAGCAGTCATATAACAAATTTGTTTCATATTGCTTGCTCCAGAAAAACATAAAAGAATTAAAAATGGAATTAGCAGAAAATAAACAAATAAATCAATATGTAATTATTGGTTGCTCTATGATTTTAATCTATGTAAAAATTTAAATTCTAATCATATAGTGTGCTGCCTATTTTCATTTACATAACTAGGTTTTCCACTCTGGCATCTAAAATATATTTAAATTTTTTAATTGTTTGTTACTGTGGTAATTATCATATGTTCCCTATAATATGTAAAACTTTTTCCCCTATAATATGTAAAACTTTAAAAAAAATTATGTGCTGGGGCTGGAGCGATAGCTCAGCGGGTAGGGCGTTTGCCTTGCATGCAGCCAACATGGCCGACACAGGTTCGATTCCCAGCATCCCATATGGTCCCCCAAACACCGCCAGGAGTGATTCCTGAGTGCATGAGCCAGGAGTAACCCCTGAGCATCGCTGGGTGTGACCCAAAAAGCAAAAAAAAAAATATGTGCTAATATATTTGAGTTTATATGAAATAGTTAAACCTACTAATGTAAAATAAAGGAAGAATGAGTGAATTAAGAAACTTTAAAGGGGAAAAATCTAAGTAGGCCTAAAAAAGTACAAAATGTTTTATCCTATGAAATGGAATACTAGTTTTGCATTATATAATATTCACTGTATCACTGTCATCCTGTTTTTCATCGATTTCCTTGATCAGGCACCAGTAACGTCTCCTTCGTCCTGGCCCTGAGATTTTAGAAAGTGCCACAATCGAGCCTCTTTCAAGGTTACAAGAATGAGACCCATCATTGTTACTGGTTTTTGGCATATTGAATACACTACGGGGAGTGTGCCAGACTCTGCCATGTGCGTAGGATACTTACAGTAGGCTGCCAGGTTCTCCAGAGTAAGAACTAGATAATAAGATGTCACTTGGTCGAGAGTGTGACCGTGTGCTTCCGGGAGCTGGATTTTATAGTGTCTGGGTCTTGGCCGTTTATGGGATTACACGGCTCTGGGGGCAGTTGGTGGGTGTAACGCCTGCATACTGGAAGATGGGGGATCTGGGTGGAGGAGGCCCAGTCACAATCCAAGAAGGTTGGAGATCTAAGCCCCAGGTCCCGCACACTTGGGTTCCTCTGCCGGTTCCTTCATGTGTGAGGCTCGTCCAAACGTGTGGAGAGTGGTCTTAAGCATGGCTGTGGCTGGAACCGGAGGCCTTCAGCTGCCGGGGATCTGTTCGGGGTGGGGAGAGAAACTCAACCTGTCCTCCTCCAAGGGGCCCCAGTGAGGACAGCCAGGCACAGAGGCAGGAGACTCTTTGCTGTTCTCTTCCAGGAGCTGGGTTTTATAGTCTCTGGGTCTTGGCCATTGATGGGATTAACGGTGCTGGGGGAAGTTGGTGGGTGTAATGCCTACATACTGGAAGATGGGGGATCTGGGTGGAGGAGGCCTAGTCCTGATCCAAGCAGGCTTGGAGATCTAAGCCCCCAGTCTATAATAATTTTATGCTATAGATATTGCTTAATTGTTAGCATCAATAAGAAAGACTGCAGTAAAAATCTCTATGCATGCAAAACTGTTGATCAGACATAGAATATCAAGATAAATGACATTCATTATTTAAAAAATGTATAAAATTTTTTAGCAAGGTAGGAGTAGAAATACCTTTCTTAAATCTAAGTAGAGGGAATCCTTAAGTACCATGAATACCATACTCAGTGCATATGCTGGGATGTTTGTCTTGTCCTTTAAAGAAGGTCCTTAGGGGGTATGGTGCCACCAGCAGGTCAGTCTGTACCTGTGAGGCAAGTGCAGTAGCAGCCTGATGGAGCCTTCAGACTTCCAGATACCCCAGAATTGCTGCTGTGCCTTTGACCAGACCCCAAAAACTTGGGGCAAAGTTTACCAAGAAAGTAAACAGCCAAAAGTTAGGTATGTGGGAAACACACCCACAAACCACCTCTGGCTCAGCTATATAATTGGAGGCATGGCCTCTCTGGTTCCTGATTGAACTGCTTAATGGCCATGATCCCAGGGACTCAGAAACAAATCTCGAAACCCAGCGGCTTTTGGCAGAAATGCATTTGGTCCCTGCAGTAGGTTACTGGTGCTGGGCCAACCCAGGTGGGAATAGGTTTTGTGCCTTGGCCTGTTCCCCCTGGCGGCCTGGTGGCTGCCATCCTCCAGAGGCCACTGGACAGTCAGGTTTGGGTCCGCAGTGATGAGACATTTTGGACCTCATGGAATGGGGGTGGAGCCGGTCCTGTCCTCCCCACCCCAACGAGACCCTAAGTCATCGCCCACAAATGGCCTCTCTGGCTCTTAATCAAGCTGCTTAATGGCCAAGATCCCAGAGATTCAGAAATAAATCTCAAAACCCAGTGGCTTTTGGCAGAAATGCGTCTGGACCACGCAGTAGGTTACTGTCACCAGGCCACCCCACGGGGGAAAGGGTATTGTCCCTCTGCCTGCTTCCCCCTGGAAGCTCGGTGGCCATCATCCTCCAGAGGCCATTGGACAGTCAGGTTTGGGCCCGCAGTGACGAGACATTTTGGGCCTCACTGGATGGGGGTGGAGCCGGTTCTGTCCTCCTCGTCCCAATGAGACCCCAAGTCATCGCACACAAACAGCCTCTCTGGTTCCTGTTCAAGCTGCTTAACGGCCATGATCCCAGAGACTCCGAAACAAATCTCTAAACCCAGCAGTTTTTGGCAGAAATCCGTTTGGACCCCGCAGTAGGTTACTGTTGCCGGGCCAACCCGGGGGGAAAGGGTGTTGTCCCTCCGCCTGCTCCCCCTTGGCGGCTCGGTGGCCACCATCCTCCAGAGGCCATTGGATAGTCAGGTTTGGGCCAGCAGTGACAAGACATGTTGGGCCTCACGGGATGGGGGTGGAGCCAGTCCTGTCCTCCCCACCCCAACGAGACCCTAAGTCATCACCCACGAATGGCCTCTCTGGCTCCTGATCAAGCTGCTTAACAGCCATGATCCCAGAGACTCAGAAACAAATCTTGAAACCCCAGCGGCTTTTGGCAGAAATGCATTCAGACCATGCAGTAGGTTACTGTCGCCAGGCCACCCTAGGGGGGAAAGGGTGTTATCCCTCCACCTGCTCCCCCTTGGTGTCTCAGAGGCCGTCATCCTCCAGAGGCCATTGGATAGTCAGGTTTGGGCCAGCAGTGACAAGACATGTTGGACCTCATGGGATGGAGGTGGAGCCAGTCCTGTCCTCCCCACCCCAGTGAGACCCCAAGTCATCGCCCACAAACGGCCTTTCTGGCTCCTGATCAAGCTTCTTAACAGTCATGATCCCAGAGACTCAGGAGCAAATCTCAGAACTCAGCAAGTTTTGGCAGAAATCCCTCCAGATTCAAGTGTTAAAATTTTGAAATTTCAAAATTACGCAGCCACTGCCTTAGCCATGCGACATCATATGTTATTCATAACCAGCAATAGAAAACAAATTGTCTACTGTTGCCTTTTCAGCAGATCTGAGTGTTGGGGTAAAATCTCAAATAATAATGGTGGGTCTGGTGTCAAAATATTGAATGTGATCAAAGTAGAGAGAGATTAATGTGGAAATCATCTGCCCCACGGGTAGGGGGAGGGTGTGGGATAGGGGTGTACTGGGGTTGTTGGGGTTGGAGAATGGGCACTGGTGAAGGTACGGGTGTTTCATTGTATGACCGAGACAGACCCGAAAGCTTTGTAACTGCTCTCATGGTGATTCAGTAAATAAAATTATAAAAAATGAAAAAAAAAGTAAGGTGGAGTTCATGCACAATTCAATCAGCTAATCAGTGGCTGAATAAATAGCAGTACTCCTACATAAATAAATAAAAAAATAAAAAAAGAAGCTCCTTTAATGCTTCTTGCAAATTGGTTTCAATGCTGTGAACTCCCTAAGCTGTTGCCTGTTCGTGAAACTCTCTATAGAGTGTTAATTTTGAAAAAACACTGGTTAAACAAAAGGAGGGTTAACACCAGATAAACAGTATTAAGCAAGTTTCTTATTTGTAGAAACCACTTAAGTCAACATTCCAATTGATTTATAAAGTGAACATCTAAGGTGTATATTGTTCATGTGTGTGTATGTAGCAACCCTCTAAAGTGATATATTGAATATAACATTTAAGTTTTTAACCAAACTTTCATAGTGAAGCTTTTATTCTAGTAGCATCTGCACAGTACACTTTGGAAGAGTACGATCACAGACCAAAAGATGATTAAGTGTATTCATTTCAGTCTCTTTCGGGACCACAAAGGGTGGGGAAGCTGGTGTGAAGCACAGGGGGGGTTTGCTAAGTTTGGGCCCTCAAGAGCAGGGGCTTTCAGGTTTAGAATTCGATGTTATCCATGTTGACATCTCTCTCCAACCTTGTCTTTGCAGCTCCCTTTTGAATTGGAGGTCTACTATATCCAGCATGTTATGTTGTATGTGGTTCCAATCTATCTGCTGTGGAAAGGAGGTAAGGCCACTCACCCACACCACTGTGCCCACCTGCACACCTAATGCCTGCCAAGATCTTGAGTTGCTGCCTGACTAGGCTGCCATAACAAGTGTGATGCCAGCCACAAGCCTGTGGGCCGAGGACAAAGCCTTCCGAGTGTCGAGCGTGCTTTTCTGAACCATCCTTTGTGGGTAAACATGGATGGTGCCACAAACTGCTTGTCTGGGGGGGGGGGTGGTGGTCTAGGTCTTGGGCTCTGTGGCTGTAGTGCTTTGGGGTTTGTTGCTGCTTCTTCCTGCCTCGGGGTGCAGTTAATAGTGGAAGGAGAGAAGGCAGCATGCAGTCGTCTCAAAAGAGGCACTTGCAGCTCTGGTCCAGCCAATCCATCTTCTCTGAACTGAAGAAGATCCAACAAGGGTCAAGAAGTCTAGAGACGATGAGATTTGGGGACTGATGCAAAGGATGGGTGACTAAACCTCCTATCTCAGGTAGAAAAAATCATCGAATTCCTTTGTGCCTGAAGTAGGGGGCACCATCATTTGCACCATCCAGAATACCTTGGCTTTGCTTGCACTGCAGACCAAAAGGAAAAGCAATGTGTGTCTTTTCTAACTGAATGGTGAGGCAGTCTCTGAGACTTTTAGCTACCAGTTTCTCTTATCTTGCTTGCTGGGCCTTTGTGGGGAGACCAGACTCTCCCTACCTCACCCCGTTACTAATAGTGCATGAAGAATGGCATGAGGCCACATGGACCTTTGAGTCCCCTGGATGAAAGATGGTTAGGAAGTTGTGTTTCCTCTAACTCAGGAATTCTGGCCAACCCCCCAAAGTATGGCTGGGAACCAGCCTTCAGGACCAGTCAGCTTGGGCGTTTGCTGGCTGGAGAATGGCCCTGTTCTCTGTGGCATTTCCTGCCCTCTGAAAGATTGGCCTGCGGGTCCTGGTTTCTTTCAGTTAAGATTGTTTTTAAGTTCCTATTCTTTGGGGATGTTTTTAACATATGCAGCCACTTGGTGTCGCTTCACTGCCACTTTTTCATTTGCTCTAAATGTTCACTTCCCTGAGCTTCAAGGGAAGCAACTCTCAAGTTCCAAAATCCAGGAGAATTTCAGGCCATTTCTCAGGCCTGTCCCTTGTAGCATAGAAACAGTTACCTAATATTTGGGTCTTCGCCCCGTATTCCAAAGCGAGTGATGCAGGCAGCTACATCCCTAGCTCTGCATCCCCAACACTCATGGTACTTGCTGTCTGAGGTGATGGCCAAGTTCTGGCTAAATGTTCATGCCTATTAGCTACACTTAACTTTTGTTCTAAGTGAGTCTGATGCGGAAAAAACTAGGTAGGTTTCCTTTTTCCTTCCACCTGCTCCCACTTCACTCCAAAAATAATCTGAAAAGTCAAAACTTCTAAATTGGTGCTATTGCTACACTATTGAGGGAAAACAAACTGAGAAAGGATTCCAAGTCTTAATATGGTGACATCAGTTCTATATTTGTGTTAAATAAAACCCATTCAAGTGTGAGCCACTGGTGGTACACACTGGCATCAAGGTGCTAATTCCATTTTTTCTGCAAATCTTTCTGCTAGGGATTCTTTCCCTTCTGGTGCCTGGCCCTGTAGGCTGGAGAACAAGGAGTGCTTTTCTTGAGTGCTGCACATAAAACACTCTGTTAGGCCAATTTTGTGTATTTTCCTATCACACTCGATCTGATGGAAAAACTTCCTGTGGACAATAAAATCAAGGCTTAGAAATTGTGAGGGACCTTGCCCATAGCTATAAGAGCAGAGCCAGGATTTAAAGCCAGCCTAGTCTGTCTCCCAAGGCAGTCCTCCTTTTGATGTACCACATTCACCTAAAGGACTATATCTTTTCCCCAGCCATATTTATCTGGAATTTTTCCCCATACTCCCCTCACTCAGCCATTCATTCACTTAACAGGTTTACTGAAACCTCTCCTGTGCTGTCATTTGCATAAGGGATTCAATAACACTGATCATAGAGGTCCAGTTCTTCTGCAGGAAGTCCTTGTCTCTGGGGAAAGACAGTAAATTGTAATAAAACACAATACATGAGAAATAGGCGACTGTAGGACTAGAAAATGTGGTTTCCAGAACCTTCTGTTATGTCTCCCCACCTCTGAGCTTCAGGGAAAATCTTGGCTTCCTTCTAGGCTCTTTGTTGCCATCTACTGTCCACTTCAGGGAACTGCTAAACATTTCCAGACAAAGAACAGTTTCCCAAGGCTGATTTCACCAGCGTTTCTGACCCTTTGCAGAGGAAAAATAGAGCCGGAGTGAACAGTGGGAAGATTATTTCTTGAAAACTAGAAACCTTGAGGGTTTGGGCCTTTTCTTTTCTGAAATTTTGTTGTCATTTTCCATAAAGAGCTAGTTTAGAATTTTTCTTTCACCTAACGTATACATCTCCCAAAGCAACTTCCTTCTTGTGTTCTGGAAGCACTTGCTTGAGAACCCAGCTCCTCCTTCCCCCTGGTTTGTGGAAGCAGAAATTTCATTCCTTTCTGTCCGCTCAACTCTTTTATTCCTTAAGTCTTTCATTCCTCCATTTCTGTTTCTTCTTTTTGTAACTCTTGGCCTTTGGCCCACTGGAACTATATATTTTTTAATAACATTCCCACCCCACCCCAAAACTACTGACTCTTAGCATAACACAAAGACTGTCTCTTGCCTGAAATTCGCTAGTGGTGACTGTCCTTTCTGCCCTGTGCAACTGTGGCCTGTTGCACCACAGTCTCTTCCAGGCCATTATTTCACCTTTTTCCCTTCAGGAAAAATGCTGTCTCCTTTACCTCTACCTTTTCCCCCAACTAATACTCCCACCTTACCTGTTAGTCACTCTCCCTCCTGTCTTCATTCATAGATGCTTTTGGACCATGGGTCTCTGACTGTGCTCAGAGCTTACTTCTGGCAGTGCTCGGGGGACTATATATGGTGCCAAAGATCAAACCCAGGTCAAATGCTTGTGAGACAAGTGGTCTGCCTGCTGTACTATCCTTCCCATCCCTGGCTCTAGGTATTTCCATCACCACTGTAGCTATCATATTGGGACACTGCCAGTGAGAACCGCTCTTCCACTCCTGAGGTCTAGTCTCCTTTCATTGCTGTGATTTCTGCACCAGCTTCTCTTCAGCACCTGGACCTTGCCTTTCCCTACAAATCCCCTGTCTGAGATTATAAGCATCTGTATCTGTCTCTTTGGTCCAAATATCCACTTCTCTCCTCAGTTTCCCAATAAGCTTATATACCACTATCACCAGTTACTGGAACTTTCCTTTCAGCAGCTCTTCAAAATACCTCATTCCTCATCCTTTTCCACAGAACCTGTGTTTAATCCTAGTATGCAATCTTGGCCTACTGGAGCATCTTCTCTGCCATTCTCTTGTGGGTAATTAGAAAGCAGTGGTCTCTGTTTGGACTTCCCTTACAGCACCATTGATCATCTGTTTCCCATCTTTCCTCAGTTCCCCCACATACTTTCCTTGGACGTCATGGGCTAAATCTATCCCACCCTCCTCAAACTCCTGTCTACTTCACTCCAATCTCCTCACCTCCCCAACAAGTGCCTGAGAAAGTAGAGATTTTCAGGTGGGAATTTTCTCAATAGCTTCACTCTCTAAGACTCTATCCTTACCCACCCTCACAGTCTTCTGTGCCATCATGGTGGAACTGGTGTTCCAGTGAGGCTATCACATACTGATGTGTCTCTCTCATTCCACCTATCTGTCACATGTACACCTGGCTTTCCAACCCTATCATTTCTTCTTAAGGGGTCACACCTGGTGGTGCTTTGGGTCTACTCCCAGTTCTGTGCTCAGAGGTTTCTCCTGTGTGTGCTCAGTTCACCATAAAGTGCTATGTACTGAACTGACCCCTGTGTACAAAGCCAGCACTAAGTCCATTGAGCTCTCTTTGACCCTCCTACCCTTGTTCATGCCTGAATTCTTAACCAATAAGGACGCAAAATATTTCCTATTCTAAAATACTTCCTTGGGGCTAGAGAGAAAACACTGCAGGTAGAGTGCTTGCATGTGGTCAATCTCCCCAGCACTCCATATGGTCCCCTACAAGTACATCCAGGAATGATTTCTAAGCAGAGAGGCAGGATTAAACCCTTAGCACTACTAGATGTAGTCCCAAAATAAAACACAATTGCAAAAACAAACTAAAACACTTTCTCATCCCTAGCCCTTACGTAATTCTTTATTTTCCCCACTATGTTAGGTAACCTTTAAGAAGAACTTTGAAAATATTTTTTCTAGTGCTCGTATTGACCCTGCTTCCATCCCCAGCTCTGCATGATTTCTTGAACCCTGTTGGAAGCTTGCCCCCCCAAACGCAAAGCTGCGAGTAGCCCCTGAACGCATCAGGTGTACCCCAAACTTTCCCACACGCAAAGAGGAAAAAAGACATAAATAGAAGCAGCATTTCCGAAATCTCAGCTCTCCAGATGCTAAATGTTCGTCAAGTCAGCTTCTGCAATGTGTAGATACTTATCAGTTTTTTTCAAACATGTTCTCTCTTAAAAGAAACTTTCTAATATTCATAAATTCTGGGTTCAGGCATTAAAATTTTCTCTTTTAATGTGCTTGCACGCAGCTGAACCAGGTGTAATCTCTGCCATCATATAACATTCCCTGAGTATAGCCAGGAAGAAGCCCGGATCTCTGCCCTGTATGGCCCCCCCCCAAAATCTGTCACCTAGAGTGAACTGGTGGACAGGGCAGGTGTGCATGACACTTGCCTAGATCTTTTATGTGACTTGAATTCCTCCAAATATTGCCTTCTTCTCGGCTGCCTGGCTCTGCATGGACAAAAATCTCTGCATCATCAGGTGCTATTTGTTATTTCTTTTTGGAATGGTCTCCATTCATGCCTTCCCAAATCTCTTCTTCTGACTATCCTGCTTCATTGGCCGTGCTTTCCTCAATCACATTTATGAATGCTTTTTACCTTTATCTTATGAAATACTGATTTCTCCAGAGTTCTGATTTCTAGAC